GTGTGGCTGTGGGTATGGATAAAGAGAAGTGAATACCCACACCCACACCCACACCCTAATCATGGCACAACATTTGTTCGCCGATATTTGCGCGCACGACAGTTGTGCACACGACTCGTGCGCGCAACGACACTTCCGCACATGACACTAGCGCGCGCGACACTTTCGCACAAAATCAGATAGTTTGTTTTTTCTGTGTTAAGTTAATACATCTTCTAAAGTTTCATTAACGGTTCTTTTAGTGTGACTGTCAGTGTCAGAGTTGAAATAGGTTATTACTGATTCAGCTATTTCCACTCAGTGCGTTGGATGGAGTTATCACTGTTTCGACTCATTTTAACTTCCACACTGGTGGCTACAGCGTTTCGGTGTGGGGTCGAAATGGAATCAAGAGAACAGAGATCCTGCTGGCCAGAACCACAGGTCAACATTCAAACTTACTTCAGAAACCACACTTGAAACTCAGATCCAAGTCAAAACCCATATGTACACCCTCACTCCACATCCACATGTACTGATTAAAATCTGATTCAGGAAACGATCTCATGGATCTCACCTGTTCTCAAAGGCTATTTTGTTTTGGAAAACTAATATGCTAACACCAATAACTGGAATGGTAGATGGATCACTAGGATGATAGTATCATTACCTGGGATGCTATTGGCATCACCTGAAATAATGCTAATAACCCAAGTGATACTTGTGGTATCTGAGCTTACGCCATAGCAAATCAGGCAATACCTCCAATATCCAGGTGATGCGTCTAGCATCCTAAGTAGTACCCTTAGAAACCTAGCTGATGCCTGTAGCGTTACAGATGTCGGTGTTAGCTTCCTGGTTTTCCATGCAGAATTTGTCTCTTTCAAAAGACGCAGTCCATTAGATGATTTCATGAATTAAGTCTCCATTTGAACTGAACTACTTGAACAGTTCACCTTAGGTCGGAAGTGGTCTTTGAACAGTTCATGTAATCTGAGCTGAACTGTTCGAGCACACCAGATCGTTTTAACGAACGGTTCATCAGTTCCGAACTTCTAGCGAGCTATCTAACTCCCACTGCGCATCAACAACGCGCACCCGCGGCCATATGCCCGCACACACCCATTCCGCATCTACACCTATAGAACAGTTCATGAAAATTTAGAAGATGTTTCAACTTAATGCAGGAAAAATAAACTATCTTATTTTGCGTGGAAGTGTCACGCACGCTAGTGACATGCGCTGAAGTGTCCTTGCGCACAAGAGTCGTGCGCACAAATGTCATGCGCGCAAACGTCCTACAACCATGTTTTAAGTCAATGTCGTGTTCCCTTTGAAGAATACAAGGAAAACTTCTTTTCAAATTTCAACTTGAAACTTTTCGCAAAGATAGAGATCTTAGCGAGAATAGTTTATTATGAAAGTCTCATATCATTTTGTTGTTCCTATCCTAAGATAGAGCTTTTATCAAAGCTTATCTTTTACACTGCTGATATGCACCAGTAGATTTGATGTTCTTATTTCAGGAAAAAAGCAAATCAAAAGACCCGAAACTTTCACAATAAACTATTCTCGTTAGGATTTTTGTCTCTGCACAACGTTTCAAGTCGAAATTTAAAAATGAGTTTTCCTTTTATTCCTAGAGGAAACCACGGTATTGACTTAAAAAATACCGTAAGAATACAGTATCTCAGTAGTAATAATCTAATAGTCCGAACTATTTTCAAGATATTCATAACTCATTAAGGTCTACATGATGCACATAGTCTAGTGTTCAAAACAATTAATTAGTCAAGGAATTTTCCTCATTAGCCTAGTATTTTTAGAAGATTTCAGAATCATTGGATTTAGTCTCTTCTAGATATGAAGCTTTTAAAATCTCGTGCCTTCTCATCAGTTTCAAGTAAATTATGTAAACCTTCACAATCTCAATCAAAATCGATGGGTTTGATCATTATTTGTAAACTTCTCTCACAAGAATAAAAATTTGAATCTTTCTTTTATCATCAGAAGAAAAAAAAGAATTAACTAATTTGATTAAAGCACGACGAAGATATTCAAATTGTCTTTTTTTCTTGGTAGAAGTGGACTTTTGGGACACTTATGATATATACTTGTGGAACAATTTGTTTAATCTTTATAATTGTTTGATTATTTCTCATATCAAGTAAACTTGAAATACAACGAAGTTGAAGCTAAAATAAAATAATAAATATAAATGTTTGTTTGTTTGTTTTCTTGTTCATCGATAAAATATACAAACTTTTTTCAAAGCTGATTGTGATTTTATTAATGAAGTAAGAAGATGTTCAAGTAATAAATTTCAACGACATTCATTAATAAATTATTTCAATAGTTATAGTAGAACGTTAACCAAATTCTTCTAAAATTCGATAAGATTTTTTCATAACACTTCTTTTCACCCTTCCATCTTTCTAAAATATTCAAATGCTATATATATATATATATCTTCATATTTTTTTTCTAAATACCATTGTAAGTAATTGTTTTAATTTATCTTCTAATAATTCTAAACGTTTTTCATCCAAATATGTTATTAAAGTCAAAAAAATATCAAGTAAATAAGTCCTTTAAGAAATAAAGAAAAAGAATAAAATCAATATATATATATATTATTTTGGTTAAATTTTATTTCATATAATGTTATTTGATCAATTCCAGTATTTTGTATTTTTTCTAAAGATTTATCAAAAAATATTTAATATACTTTATGATCAGTTACTTTTAAATAACGTTTTATTTTTTTGATATACACTTTGTCGTATTGGATCACGTGAAAGATTCCATTTTTCAGTTGTATATAAATAAAATAAAAATGATAAATAATTTTTTGCATACTTTCCTATTTCTTGTCGATCAGTTTCTAATTGAATAACGATAAATTTTATATTATATCAATGTATTAAATAAATCAAAATAGTTATTTTACCATTATCAGTTTTCGATATAAGATTTCTTAAATCAACCAATAAACGTAATATTAAATCTGCTTGTTCTGTTAATGATGTATCAATACCTTTTGCAATTAATTTAAAACTTGTTAAAACATCTGTTGCATATGAACAATAACCAGGAAATAATGAGCAAATTTGACCTTGTAAAGTAAATAATACTGTTGAATTTATTAAATCACCTTTATCACGAAGATTTTCTGCTAAAGAAAACTCACCAATTGTTTGTAATTGAAATGCAATCGATAAAAAAATAAGCAACTAAATGATTTAATTCAGTATGTGTTATATTATCACGTTATAATGGTAATGACCATGATTGTTCTAATTAAACATCATTTATTTGTATCAGTTAGATTTAATGGAATTACTTGTAAAGTATTTTTTCGTCTAAATACACGAATTGCTATAGCAACTGTTGAATCTAATTCAGCTAAAAATGAAAAATCTTTTATTGAACTTAAACCAGATAATATTGATAAACACTAAAGACAAGAGAAAAAGTTTTTTTTTTTTAATTTGGACATAGTTCAAAATAATCTTTTTCCATTAAATCAAATATATCACCAAGTAAATAATGTATAGAATAATTCTATGATAATATATATGGATATATTAAACCATGTTCAACTAATTGAAATAATTGCTTTATTAATGGATATGTACGTAATGTATCTATTTGTGGTTTTAATATTGTTTTTATTATTGTCTAAAGTTAATAAAAGATTCTTTTTTCCTTTTCTTAAAGAAACAGTATTACATGAGAAATTATCTGAGAAAACATAAAAAATAAGTTTGTTTTTTTCGTTCCAGCTAATCAAAAACGAGTTTTTCTATTTTTCGGCTCTTAGACATTTTGATGAAATTGTATTATTGATATGATGGCAAGAACTCATCACTTGAAGTACTATCCTTCAGAAAAAATCGTTTCGTTCGATCTATCAATAGCACGTGCACTTCTTACCAGCAACGCCTATAGATTAATATCGGGTAATGGAAATTTTGAAAGAATTCTGATTTATCTGAGATTAGCGTCAGATAAGAAAGCAGTTAAGACTACTCTTGTTTGGGGGAATTACTTTTTTATTCTAAATAACCATCAAGGAAAAGGTTGTTACCCTGGTAACGACAAGGACTATGATGGATAATGACAGAATGTTCCTTTAACTTGTTCAGCTATAAAATAACAAACTGTTTTTACTCAAACTTTCCATGTTCCAAAAGTTATTATTATTGTCGTATATGAATATTTGCATGTTCATATACCAGAATTTTAAAATTTTTTTTTTTTATCATAGATTAAGAATATTTTGTTGATATTTATGAAATGAATGCATTTCCTTCATATCATATGGTAGTAAAAATATCATGTATTGCATAATGACAGACATGTATTATATTCCTGTGGCATAGGACAGTATAAATCTGATTTAAGAGAGAAGCGTTTTAAAAAGTTTCACAACTACTACATATCGTTGACTATTTTGTTCATATGAGAATATTATAAAAGATTACTTTTGAATTTCTCGAACTAGGCTAAGTGAACCTTCAGATCAGCACATGTGGTTGCCAATAGAAAATGAAACTGTTACACATATGAGTGAATTGCGCTGGCATTGTACGATTGCATTTCCAACACAAAAACGCTTATATCTCGACTTTTACTCAGCCAATTTTAATAATTTTTTTTTTTTGAAATACTCCTTAGGCTCTATCCTACTTACCGTAAAACTATCAAGGCTTTTGACTATCATAGGTATGGAATTTTCAAGCAAGAAAGGTCAAAATGAGTGCTGTTTGGGCCCACCCATCGATGAAAATCACTCTTACTGTCCTAGAATTTTGAATACATAAAAATAATTTATTATAACCATTTTGTAGCTAAGACTTTCCTCTCTCTCATCATATAAATTGATCACAGCTTTGGTTTTGATTTTCTGATCAAATCTTGCAAAGACTAGCTAAACATACACTTTGACCAGTTTATGTCCCGACAAATTAAATTCAATCTACTGAAGCCAATGCAAAAGCAAACGCCAATTTTTTTTTACTCTTCGGTAGAGTAAAGAGTGAGAAATCTTTTGATAAAAAATTTTTTTCTAACGACTTTCTAAATCAAATTAAAAATTAAAAATAAGAGGGAAGGGGTGATGGTGAGGGTGTCATCTGCACCTTTACGCTCTTATTATAGGGATGTATGTGTCCTGACAAAGTTCTGCATATGCTCATTAGATTCTCCTTTTCAAAAGCTTTCGATTGATATATAATAACAATATATTAACTGTCATTTCGTGATTCGATTTTGTCAAAATATTTCTAAAATTATGTATTTTGTTATGTCAAGAGATCTTGGAAATTATGCATTTTTTAATAAAACTCAATTTTTTTCTGAAATGAAAAAACTGACAGTTGGGAAAATATTTGATTTATACACAACTAATAGAGCTCTATCGAATGCTCGATTCAAATTGGCTTCATATTCACTTTTATTTTTTTCAATTTTTTTCTTCAAATCGTACAATGCCAGCGCAATTCACTCATATGTTCTTTTTCATCTGACCTACTCTTTTCTGACTAGGAAGAATCATTATCTTAATTCTTCCTATTTCTTCATTTTCTAAACAATCGAGAAAGCTTCTTGACTTCTTTCCTGGCCGTCTAATTATCTTTCTTCTATGTATATATATATATATTTGTTGTTTTCTCAAATCAAGTCAGTCAAATATTCGTTCATCTATAGAACCGTATATGTGTAACTAGCTGCCATAGATTTTTTGATTTAAATCGAAATATTGTACTTTTATTCTTTGTGCTAATCAATTCATTTTACATTTTTCTTGATCGACGGAGCTGCTATTTGTGTTGATACATTCGATAACATGTCTCTTAATATGAATAAAAATCAACTAGAAGTCGAATTTATGAAAGTAGGTTTAAAATAATTTTTTTTTCTAATATATGCTCATTATCATCATGAAAATTGATTTTATTGAACTTTTATAGATACTTAAAAGATTTATTGATAATCCAGCTGATATTCATCTAATTCAAGAATTAGATGAAATTGGAGTGAGTGGAAACTAATCTTTGTTATTAAATTTTATTCTATTTTTTCTTTCCAGATTAAATTAATTTATTTATCAAAGAATATTTCGGTAATAAGAAAAAAATTTTTTTCTTCTATAAATCGATAATATTTTTTTTTTACAGAATCAAGAATCATCATTATCATCAATTATACGTCCTGTTGCTGATGAATCAAATAGTGAAGAATTAAATCAAAATGATTTACAAAAAACAAACAATAAAAATAAAAAAAAATATTGGTTTTTTGAAATTCGTAAGTTATAGTTATTTCATTTAGTATTAATATAGATGAAATAGTAAGAATAATAAAATTTATGTTTCTGTGTGAATATATGTAAAATTGAAATTAGAAGTTTACATTAGATTTTATTTTGTTAATTTTTTTTGTTAAATGAGAAGTCGATAATAACATTGAAATATTGATTTCGATAGGTTTGAAAATGAAATAGGAAACTTGTATGATTCAATTTCTGAAGAATAGATTTTTCGTTTTTTTTTTTAATTTAAAGAATCATTTTTGTTTTCAACTATCTAAAATCTAAGACATATTAAATATTTCATTAGATTTTCTTTCTTAAATAATTATTTGAAAAATCTTCTATATATCATTGGATGCAGAATTTATTGAGTCAGCTTTTGATAAAAAGTATTCTTTAAATGTTATTAATATTAATTATTTGAAAACAATCTATTACATTTTCTTTTTCAGTTCATAAGATCGTCATTGAAACTAGCATTAAAATCTGAAGAAAATATAATAAATGTTTCTCTTGAAACAATTCATCTTAGTATGATTCTAATGAGTATAGCAATCTATAGTAGTACATTGTATTAATAATATAATACAGATCTCATGTGTAACATAGACTTAGAGTTTAAAATCTAAAATATTTCATATTCGAACAATTTATATTTTTCGAATGAGACTTGATTGAGTTTTATAGAATATACGATTCATTTGGTACAATAAATTTAAATTGATAAATCAGTTAATTCTAGAAAAATAATAAGAAATTATCATAGAAATTACTGTTAAAGAACAATTCTTGAGTCAAGTGATCAACAAAATAGTCCGATTTCGAGTTCTATTAATGAATCAATTTCATCAATAGAAATTTTATATTTATTAGAAGAATCATCTAGATTATTAGAAATACTACTTGTTTTTAGAAAACAAATTGAAACCAAAGATAAGTTATTCTGTAAATCTTTACTCCATTCATCGCATGTAATAAATGAAATCAGTAGAAATGTTTCTTCTTTCTGAAAAATTCATTATTACCAAAGCGATTTTATCATAAAATAAAATTCCTTTTGATTTGCGCTTCGTAGCTTGTTTTTTTTTGAACTCATTTACAAAAATAAAAATTGTTTAATCAATTGTTCAATTATGAATTTCAATGCAGTTCTTTTGATATGTGTTTTTTATTTGATAATCTCTGATTCATCTTATACTAGAGATTCTAAAATAAAAATGACATATAGAATATTCACCTAATCAATTGATTGCTTCTTATAAGATAATATAGAACATAGTGTTATCATTTAATTGAACATTTTTCATATGAATCTTGAAATTCTTAATTGAATAATTAGTATAGAACGATGAAAATGATTTTATTGAGCATTGTCATCTATCGATTAACAGTTTTGAAATTTAATTTCATGCGTTTCTGAAAATTTGATGATTAGAATCAGTTTTATCAAAAAAAAATTATAATACTATTCTTTCTAATGATTGCATATGAAGGTATAACTTTCATTTCTTCGAAGGTTTCTATTTCTCTAGAAACACAAATCCTCTATCATTTTTTGTTTCAACTATTTTTGTTGTGAGCTATGTAAGATTGTTGAGAAAACAGAAAAAAAAAACACAACACATTTATTTATAATTCATTCATTAGGAAATAATTAGATTTGAGTTAAATTTTGCTAATAGTCAGTCTCCCTTCCATTGACTATTCGAACATGAAAATTTTTATTTTTTCTGAAATTCATATTTTGTGTTTTTTTGAATTACATGTATCTGAACATTTTCAAAGTCAATTCAAATAGAAGATTGTAAATTATAAATATATTTTTTTTATTCTTTTTAATAGGAGATTGCTTGTCAAAAGGTGTATTCCAACGACTTGATTCTTCTAAACAGAGATATTATAAGTTGGAATAACAACAATATGAACATTTTCATTTTTTTTGTTGCTTATTCTTGTTTTCTTGTTTATACTAATAAACAAACTATAATAAACACAATTTGAGCAGTTGCCTAATTCGAGTTTGAATATAAATGGAAAATCAAAAAAAAAATTGCGCCCATGTTCAAATGGGAAAAAAAGAAAAAGATAAAATTTTATCCTAATTATAAATTGAGGGTGTGGGTGTAGGTGTAGTG